GCACGGTTGACTTGGTTCCCATCCGAGCCCTTAGGCGCTCACAGACACCCACACTTGCCTGATTTCATTCCTTATGTAATGAGCGCAATGCTCCTCTTAATGGCACATATTACTACTCCAATATTCAACTCGTCAAGTCCCTTTTCTGAAGAAGGATTGGTGCGCACTTAGTCAAGTGCAGTCTAATTAAGCTTTCGGCCGGTGTGTGCGAGCTTGAATTGAGTGTAATGAGAATGAAGTTAGAAAGGGAAATTCTCTGCAAAGGATTCGATCTGCTTGCTGTAAGGAAAGAGCTCGAATTGACGCTGATGCGATGATGAGATAATGAGATTAGCAGTAGGGCACAGGAAACATCTGCTCATTCCTTCCTTTGCTTTAGTTGGCCTTAATTCCTCCCGGATAACACTTAGATGTAGTTCATGGATGCTTTTTTTACCATAATCCTTGAAATAGGCTTGGGGTCTGCCGAACTTTCAATTCGAGTGCTTTCAGCCGTTTGCCTCCTTGCTTTGTCTTCCTAATCCAATTTTATTGCTGCCCTTTGTAGCTCTGCCTTTGTTAAAATTCCTTCTCTACCGAATTTATCGTTTGGCCAGTTTGACAAAGTACACCCAAGCGCCTCCTAGATGGCTCTGTTTTCTCTTAAGGGAAGCTCTTCACGCATGAGGTAAGAGCAAAATAAAGCACCAATTTGGAGCGTATGAACGCTCAGCTGAAAGCCTGGAGAGGCTGCTGAACACGTCACGGCCAACGATTGTTCTCGGTAGAACTGGCATGTCAAACGGCTAATGAGAGGGTGACTTGTAATGAGCACTTTCATTTCGTTCTTTTTCGCCTTCAATATCAAATTTCACCAATGTGCAGGCTGCTTCAATATGGTGAATTAGCTGCAATGAAAAGCGTTTTTGCAGTGCTCGTCAACGCGCAAAAGCGAACGTTGGCCGAGGCGCAGTTTTTCGAACTGTTTGCCCGAGACGTAATCCTTTCATTTAACATGCCCTACTGATTGCACGTTACTAGGGCTACGGGACCTTTACCTGTTCCTTCGGCAATAAATTGTAGTATTTCGCTAATTCCTTGAACAATTCCTAACAAGTGACAAGCTTTGTCCTTCTAGGACAGCCATAATTATTATACAACGAATGTGTGGTCCATTGCACTAGCTGAAGTAGGGTTCAAATACTCAAAAGAGTTATAGGTGTTCATGGTTGGACTGTTCCCAAGGGAACATCCGGCGAATCGGAATTCTACCTGACGACGGCTGCTCTGACTGGGTTCTCATGAAGACAATAATGCCGCAAATAATGCCTCATAACAAGAATCTGTTTACTTTGAGGCTTTTGTTCTGGCCAGAGACAAAATTTGCTTGAACGAGCTGACGATCGTCGATAACATATAATAATTCGCAATACAATTGAAAACTACAAAACAACGGCTATTGCAAAAATAACTTATATTTTTATGTGAGCAATAACATCCTGAGCTTTAGCGAACCTATTTTGTTCCAGGCAGGATTCGAGCTTCCCCAGCCTACCGGGCATTGCTGCAAGCAATTGCACCACTGAGGCGATGTTTCACGTCAAAAGCGCCTTGGCTGGAGAACCGGCTTTTTCTTTCAGTATTGTAACTCGTGGTTTACCTGGTCACAGTGAAGATTTTTGGCCAAAAGAGTGTTGTTTAAAGGCAGCGATTACGATAAAGTGGGAGCGCATCGCGGAAGCATATACACCACACGAAATCAGTTACTTGGCCAGGAAGCGAGGTGTAGCGCTTTCACGACGCAAGGTTCGCTGGTTGCTGAGCAGGACTTCGAAAGCACTCCGCCCCCAAAAGCGATCCGCCCACTGGTTTAGTTGGTGATTTGGACGAGCTGCGTTGCCAGCAGCGGCACAACTGAAGCAACTCGACTGTAGCATGGATTGGCATGCTGTCACCAAACGCGTTGCGCTGAACTCGTTCATACGTCCGCTTTCTGAGCTGTTACCTGTTCATGAGTGAAAACTAACGGCCAAAAAAGGGGTCCCGTTTTGCGTTTTCTTGACGATTTTTCTGCTCTTTTTTCGCTACTGGCGTACCACTGAGCACCACTAACTCCTAAAAAAACCCGTGAGAATCTATGGATCGAAGAACATCTTTGATATGTATTGTAGGTGCGCTCACGCGCAGGGCTTCGGGGAGATCTTATATTAAATCCTTTACATCATCACATTTTACATGTTTAAGCTGCTCACGGCCACTTTTGTGACAGCTTCACGGCGGGAATCAACTACTTAGAATTTAGTTTTTCTTATTTCTTATCAAAATAAAAGTTAAGCTGTGTTTCTTCTTTGTCATTGTTAAAGTAACACACGCTTTATAGCAACTTTGGGCGGAGAAAAGTGTCAGTAGCAGTGACTCCGTGAGCGATGCCGTTCGACGCTAGCTTTTGTGATACATTATTCGAAGCTTATACCTTACATATTGAAGGCACCAAGACGTAAGCAAACCAGCCCTTTTGGCACATCGGCTGGGACCGTATGCTGAATGTTGGGGAGGGGATGGGGTCCCCAACGGTCGACGGTTTACTTCAACTCGGTTGGTACGATAGGAGAGTACTGACGCAAGTGGTGCAGCTGGTCCAGTAGCTTCGCCAGAAGGACCGGTCTGCTCACCCTTGGACTAAGCCTAGGAGAGGGGACGGACCCGTCCTCTCTTTAAGGCTTAGTTCTAAGGTAAGCGCCAAATTGTGGCGGTTCTAAGGACCGCGTTGAAGTTGTCCGTCCACCGTCGGGGACACCATCCCCTCCCCAACATTCAGCATACGGTCCCAGCCGATGTGCCAAAAGGGCTGGTTTGCTTACGTCCTCACGCAGCTGCAAGGCCGAAATCATACCAAGCTGCTCCATAAGCAGTAGACACGGCGAAGTCGAGTAGGAGGATTCTGTACAGTTTTTAGAATATTTTTGCATGATTTTGAAGCTGTTTCAGGAAATCAACTTTCTATTTGCTCTTTAGTTCGAAGACTTCCAAGAAGTTCTAGAAACAGATTCGAAAAGTGAATTGAAAATTCAAAAAAATCGAAATACTCGGGATGCGTCGTGCGTTTAGCTCCAGCGCAACCCCAAATCTGGAAATGTCCATGCATAATTTATTTGTGCAATGATCATCCAAACCAAGATTCCGTACAGGTCAGGTCGGTTTTTCTCAAGCTAGAAGCGGTAAAACTGTAGCATGACCTAATGGGATCCGAATCGCTAGAAGGCAATGCTACTTTGGCAATACACATACTATGCATCAAATGCCGTGGAATGCCAAAGATCAGGGCATATGCGGGTAGGGTGACAAGGGATGGTGATGAGGTGGGTGGATGTGGAAATCCTTTTTCTAATGGCTTATTTCGAATTTATTATTCAATTTGAATCTATTTCGCCCTACAAATGCGTCTTTGCCCCTATCAGCCAGAGTTTATTTGGCCTTTTGGATTCCGTCCATTCCTGTGCTTGTTTTCGAATGTTGCATTGTTTTCGCCATTCCGTTGTCGCCAGGACATCCTTAAATCGGGCGTGTTTACTCTAATTTGATATCCGTCGGCCTCAGAAAATATCCTCATAGAAGCGTGGCCATTGGGATTTCCATGTGCTTGAAAAAGGCTCACAGCACAGACCGAGGCGAGTGTTGCCGGGCACGACCTGATTTGAAACTTTCGGCTAGCTGACGATTTATAAGGGGAGACTATGACTAGTGGCAAGAGGCACCCGTGATCCATGAAAGGAACATTGGGCGATTTACCGTGAAAGTTGGTTGCATGGCTCATCAGAAAGCAATTGATTAGTGCTGAAGAATTAATTCTTTCTACTCTATTGTACTATAAAATTAAGTGCGGTATCCTCCGTGTGCAACTCTTTCACGTGTTCTAAAGGAAGGCAACCGCGCCAATGTTGCACTTTATAGCTCCAATTAAGGAAAAAAGTGCTGCTGTCCTCTTTTTGCGCGTAATTTTTTTGTCTGTCAAAGTAGAGTAGCCATTTCTGAAACCTTATTTAATTGCAAATGAAGTTAATTAGAGTTGCCGTTAAGCCCCAAACTATTTTTACACTTTCTCCTTGAAAATTTAAAGGCATGCCCCAGGATCACATTGGAGTGGCTCCTGCACATGAATGCGAATTATTGGTGCGAAATGGCCGGGAGCAAAGAAAAAAAAATCAGAAAAGCTTAGGCTAAGGGTTCACTCACCTTCCTAATCGGCTGTGCTAAGGGAATGAGAGACTAAGCGCGGAGAGGAGAGGCGAGAGAGCGCTACAGATGAGAGAGCGCCAGACAACAGCCTGAGAGAAAAAAATCTGCAGCTTCAGCAGCTTACTTTGCAAGGCCCAAGCGCTCTTGTCGGTTGGTTTCCGTGCACGGGAACGCCACATTTGTGATTGTCCTCTAGGGGTCTATACTACAGACCGAAGAGGAAGCGTTCACACGACCTCTGCCTGGGTTGTGCCTTTAAGCTTCATCATACCAGCCATAAAAAAGGGACTGGTGAAATGGCTGCGGTTCCATCGCAAAATAAAGCAAGGGCTCAACGGAGGTATCTTCGTGAGATTAAGCATGAGCCATCGCGCGATCATTTGGCCTTTTTCGGAATGTCGCCGAAAAAGCCGAGAGCGTGTGTGAGTGATCCAATAATCCATCTGTTGTCGCGACGTCGCCCACTTTCTAAAAATGACAAGAGCGCTTCGAATTCTCGTCACGTATGATTTTTTACCGAGACACTGGTCAACCTTGACGGGGCCGCTTTTCGGCGCTATCGCAATATACGGAGGCATCCTCCAGGAAACTAAGCCCAGAGAAGATGGGAGCCCCAAGGGGAATGAAAATAGCCCAGGCACTTCGGAGTCTCTCGGACCAAGGCTCAATCCCGTTTTAAGCAAAGAAGCATGTTTTATGCGGTGTTTAGATGCATTGCCACCACTATGCTCCCCTATATTATGATAACGCTCTTTTCTGCCTTCAACAGGACACACGCTGAACCTATGCATACCCATTTCTATTCGTATGACGATCTTGCTCGTGCAGCAAACGCTACAGGACATTATGAGCCTGTGGCTACGTGGGTGGACGCTAGGGCTTTGGTTGTCTCCCAATCGGTGATTTCGTGCATTGCGAACGCTCCTATCAAATTTTATGACAGTGTCACTTTACTGCGCTTTTTCTGCGCGCGCGCATGTCTGGTAAAGCGAACATGACGTCAAACAGACCCTTGCTGAGAGATTTTCTCAGCCATCTGTTCTATGTCCTCATCGCCAACAATTTTGTGATTGGTTCAGTTCTTGGCGAGGGAACTCCGACGGAAAGCGAGAAGACGAGTGGGAATCGCGAACTCTCCACACATATATCATGCAAGAAGGGCATATAGCATGCGAGAATGACGGGTAGGGGTAAGGGCTGAGAAATATTCTGTTGAACTTCGTAGCTGTGTTTTCCGGAAAGATCGTTCGTTGATGTCCTAAATATCGGAGCTTCGCAAAGAACCTTCATTATGAGAAGTGGACCTCTTTTCTGGCGGTACTTTTCAGACTTTTCGATTCGTCAGGGCTTCGCTCATTCGTTACAGCCCCTAATGGCTAACAAAGAAAGAGCACTTGAACGAATGAAAAAATCCAATCGTGGGGAGTGTCGCTCTGCCAAATCGTTCAAATAGCCTGCTCGTTTTGATTTGTCTGGGCGATGTGAACCAAAACAGAAGGGAGGGCCGGAGAAACCCAAGGAGGTGAGGGAGATCGAAATAGTGCCTTTCAGGCAGGAGCGGAGCAGTCACGAAACAGCGATGAATTTGTAGTGAATCAGAGTGCTCATAATCAATGCTTGCTTTGCATGTAGCTCCCAAATGCAAAGATAAAGGATAAACTTGGGGCCGGGTCAATCCCTATTGGATTGCACCACGTATTCACTCAGAATCGTGGCAGCATCGTGAATGCGATTTTGACATTTCCAAGGAATCGCGGCGTCTAGCCGATGTACTATCTGTGTTTATACTCCCAGACAAGCGTAAGCAATCCCGGAAGGAGCTGGAGGGGCTTGACTCGGCCAGAGCGTACGCGTCAAGGGCTTGACTCTCGGAGCGTGCCGCTTGCTTGCGGCCAGGGTCAACCGTCCGTTGGACAAAGTCCAACGAGGGGGGTCGTATTCGGCCGACGAAAAGGGGGGGTCGTATTCGCAAGGTCGGAGGCAGCGTCAATCCTACACCAACGGGGGGTCGTAGTGTGACGCTTTACGCTTTGTGAGTGCTAACGATTGATATAACTGTTGATATATACCCCCCCTTCCCATCCCCCCCGCTCGACGGCTATTTTGGAGGAAATGTTGGGCAGTGTCAACTGGTCTCTGAATCAAATACTATAGTAACAGCTGGGGGGGGGTCGTAAAAGTTTTGAAATTTGTCCAACGTGACGGTTGACCCTGTTTGCGGCGCCACTTGCTGCAACAACGCTTCCTTCCAGGTCCCTAAGCTGCCCCATGAATTCAAAAATGAATTTGAGTCCATTTTCGAGTGGAAAACGCGCGCTTTTTCTATTCGCCCCTCCTTTTTTGCTCAAAATCGCTCAACAAGCCGGAACATCATAACAGTGCTTTTGAAAATAATAATAGCCATCTCGGCGTCATCATTAATATTCAACAAATTACTAGGTTAGGGAATTATCTACAAGATTTAAAAGTTAGCGATTTCAGATAAACATACTTAGTAGTTTATTTACAGTCCTTATTTTCAGGTACCTAGCCGTGATAATTATCGGTTCGTTGATCGCTTTTGGTCTGACGCTCACCGTCACGTCGTTGGTGTGCAAGCGAATGCGGAGATGTCCCCTGTACAGAGATCGGTCCAGTAAGTGCTCGGTCAGTGAAGCGGTGCGCTAACCGGTTGAGATTTTCGAAGATTTCAGTGCTTTCCCACTCAGTGCAAGCGGCGACGATGTATCGGCCGGTAGACACGATACCACCGAAGATTTACGAGGGTGAGTTCTGCCATCTTCTCGCGCCAACACCCTGATTTCTGCGGTTTCCGTCTCATTTCCCACCGAGTTCCTCACGCGAAGGTCTATATACAATCATCGCCGCAGCTGGAATCGGCTCGTTTTTCAGTTGTGCCCAGCGAGAATGCGCAATTCGGATTGTGACAGGGTTTCATTTATTACAGCGGCCGACCAGGCTCTGCCTCTTGCTGGCTACCCCGAATCACTTAAGAGCGTTGTGCTGAGCTAACAAACATGTCCCTGGAGGCCATTAACCATGGTTCCACTCCCTTTCAAACACTTTCATGGAAAAGCCAGAGACGGAAGGCTTCAGCAAAGTGATCGTTGGTTTCGGATCGGAGGTAAAATATTGCTGTGTCGGTTGAAGCTCTTCAGAAAACATTAAACGGGCTGAGAAGGAAGAGAAACGCCTCGCTCGATATTGCTGCGGTGCACGTCATTTTTATTTGCTACGTTTTTAATTGGCGGGAAAACAAGCAATTGGCTCTCGTCTATCGATGACCTGAGAATGCGCCGTGCATTCGGTTGCTTTATCCAAGAGCATGGGAGGCTAAGTGGAGGTCAGACTGGTCCATTTCGCACCGTCACACTCCTAAAGGCAAAGGTCAGGGTAAATTTAATGAGCTAATTCTACTCGAACACGAAACTGGTGATGGTGATGTGAGGTGGACTATAAGGAAAAATGAAGAAATATCATCAAAAACACAGAATGTTACAAGCTCGCAAAAAAGTTCGAAAAAAGAGGAATACGAAGTCTACGCGGTTGAGAGGTCTTATTGTTAGAGGACGATAGACAGCGAACTAAGAGATTATTGGAAT